TCCAAAAAAAGGAGAAGAATCTCAAAATTAGAAAAACAGAGTACTTCTGCGAAAGTGTACTACACCACCCACCCCCACTTTTTGAGTGGTTTTAATGAGCTGTATAGTTGAAAACAGAAAGAAAAATGGGCGGGAAAATAATGGGATTTAAATAGAGAATGATGTTTTTTGTTCTAAAAGTGTTTTGCAAAGAAAGTAGGTTTAGTTGTTGTTTTTGTAACGTATGTTTCTTAAAATTGCAGGAAGTTTAGAAGATCTCAAATTTCTAATTGAAATTTTTATTTTTAAGGCTGAATAACTTTGAAAGCATATAAGAATTTGATGAGAATCAATTTACACTTTATTTCAACTTTCTAGCCCTTCTGGGAGCCGAGATACAGAAAGCAGGTCAACCGCGACGCGACCGCGCCGCGGAGGTCAAAACTTCAAAGAGGCGTAACTTAGCTGCTAGATGTCCTAAAACTATGAAAATAGCATACAAAGTTCAAAATTTTGATGCAAACTTTTTTTTTGAAATTTAAGAAAATTTTCAAAAAAATTGAATTTCGACATTTTTGGCAGGAAATATTTTACATTGTATGTATTTAAATCTGATCCGCGTTCTCAAAAAAATTGAGCAGTTTCCGATCATTTGGAGCTGAGTTACGCCTCTTTGAAGTTTTGACCTTCGCGGCGCGGTCGCGTCGCGGTTGACCTACTTTCTGTATCTCGGCTCCCAGAAGGGGGAGAGAATCGGGGGAAAGTGCAAAATGATTCTTACCAAACTTTAGTTACTCTGAAATATTCAAACTTTCAAAATTCTCAAAGTTTCAAGAATTTTCAATTATTGAAATTTTCAGGATTCCTTTCAATTCCGCCTTTCCTATTTTCACATTCTCAGACATGCAAATTTTTTCCCTCCGTTCCATCTGCTGTATCCTATTATGCTCCAACCCTTCCATCTTATTTTTTTCCCTTTAGAATTCAGAATCCTGGTACCAGATGGCACCGGAAATTCTAGAATATTCTAGAATATTCTAGAGCATTCCTTGCAAAACATCTAGAATTCTAGAATCCCAGATTCAGAATCCTGACATCATCTGAATAAAGACAATGTGTACCTAAATATAATTTTTCCTGTTTTTCTTGGGAAAAATTAATATAATTTTCTGAGGAAATTCCTCCATCTGGAAAAGTTCATTTCCGGAAAAAATGAAAACACGAAGGAGGATTTTTCTAATAGCATCATCATAGATTGGAAGATCTGTTAGCATTTTTTGATTTTGAAAATGTTAATTTGGCATAAACTTGTAAAATGTTATAAACAAGTGCACCCTTATAAAAAAGCGCTTTCTGGACTTTCAAATTTGAAATTTTCAAAACATTTCGGTTTATTTTCTATAGATTTGAAGTCCAACTACTCTAATTAACTTAAAAATCGATAAGAAACATTTTGCAGTTTATCTCATCTTTCTAGCCCTTCTGGGAGCCGAAATAGGTCAACCGCGACGCGACCGCGCCGCGCTGGTAAAAACTTTGAGGAGGCATATCTCAGTTTCTAGTTGTCCTAGAACTATGAAAAATGCATAGAAATTCTAGAAATTCAATGTATATTTTTTTGAAACAAAATACCAATTTTCTTTTGGAATTTAAAAAAATTGTCGCGTCGCGGTTGACCTACTTTCTGTGTCTCGGCTCCCGGAAGGGCTAGGAACATTTCTAGATTTTTGAGCTCAAAGAACGCTCAAAAATTGTCTTCTTCTAGCCTGAAACTTGCTTTTTGAATGTTGTCATTTTGCTTTTTCTCGTCCCCGGAAATCCCAGGAAATCCCCAAAAATCCCCAAAAACCAAAAAGAGCATTTTTCAAAAATCAAAAGTTTTCCTGAATTTTTCCAAAAAACGTGCCGCCGAAACTTTTTTGGGATTAAAGTATCCATTTTTAGGGATTTTTTTGGGAATCATACGTCAGATCTTATGTGCTCTGATGACCTCCTAAGTTCGATAAAAATGAGTGGTAAAGCTGAGCAACGACTGACGTAGATGAGAAAAATTTTGAACTTCTAGATGTTTTGGGTCTTCTTTTTAAAATTAACTTCCGAAATTTGTCACGAAATCTTGCATTTAAATAGCGAAAAAAAAATTAGTCCCTGGAATCCGTGAATTTTGAATTGCCGGATTTCTGAATTTCTGAATTTCTGAATTTCTGAATTTCTGAATTTCTGAATTTCTGAATTTCTGAATTTCTGAATTTCTGAATTTCTGAATTTCTGAATTTCTGAATTTCTGAATTTCTGAATTTCTGAATTTCTGAATTTCTGAATTTCTGAATTTCTGAATTTCTGAATTTCTAAATTTCTGAATTTTTGATTTTCTGAATTTCTAAATTTCTGAATTTCTGATTTTCTGAATTTTTGAATTTCTGAATTTCTGAATTTCTGAATTTCTGAATTTCTGAATTTCTGAATTTCTAAATTTCAGAATTTCAGAATTTCTCAATTTCAAAATATCGGTCTCGATTTTTAGAAAATTTCAGAATATTATTTAACGTCACAAGCTTAAAATAATCCTTTTTCTGTTATTTTTTGTACCTCCTTAAAATATTTCTTTCCCTATGACGACGAAAATTTGTTGTTGTGTATTGTTCTCGAAGTAGGCAAAGAAAATAAAAATGTCTGGGAATTTATTTTCCTCATTATTCTCAGAAAAAAAAAATCTGTGACGTTCATTTTTTCAGGTTAAATAGAGATAATTTCTGACTGAAAAATTAAAAAAAGGATGTTTAAAAGTTTCTCATTCTCCCATTCCTCACAAATCTTCAATTTTTTTGACATTCTTTTTGAAGTTTCAGATTTTTTCATAAATCAGAAACAAACCAGAAATTATCCCCCAGAATTTTTTGTTTCCCACAAACAACTTTTTTGTCTCTGAAACAACAAATCTTGTGACCTTTATTCCTTTTTTTGTTTTCTGCTAAAAACAAAAAAGCTAATAATCAAAGTTCAAGATTTTCAGAAATTCTAACGCCATTCAGTTTTTTCCACTTTTCAAAATTTTGTAGGATTTCGAAATGATTTCGAAATCGAGAATCTTGAAATCCATACTTGCGACCGGGCTTTTGCCGGGCCCTACGCGGGCCTTGTCATAGTTTCTTTCGGAAACAATATTTTAAGACCAACTAGATTAGACATAATAGAACTCGGATACTATTTGGAGAACTGTGTTTTGTCTATGAACAAAGTTACAAGCCATAGTGAACGGACTTCTGTTTCTTGTCTGTTACTTTGTTCATAGACAAGACACAGTTGTCAAAATAATATCATTGTGTAGCACTCGTCGAGTTCTATCATATCTAATTTGGTAAATCTGAAAATATTGATTCTAAAAGAAACTATGGCAGATCAAGCGAAGGGGCGGCAAAGGCCCGGTCGCAAGTATGTTGACATCTCTATTTGTTTTCTTTTTTTCAATTCAAGAGTCTAGAAATTTCTGAAACACTTTGTTTTCAGATTCTCAGAAACTTCATGAAATTCCAACTTTCTTCCCACTTTACCCCTTTTTTGATTCTCACATTTTTTATATCAGAACTAGTTTCCTTTTTTTCAATTTCTAGGTACTCGCATCATTTTTTTTCATGCTCATTGAAATGGAAAAAGTTTTGAAATTGAAATAAAATTTTCATCTTACAAAAATCAGAAGAAATTATGATGAAATTCTGACTTTTTTTTTGGTTTTTTGAAATTTCTAAAAACTTGAAATTTCAATTTTCAGATTCAAGAGCATTTTCCTATTCTAGCATTTTGAGATTCCAGATTTTTTCCTCTTTGTCTCTGACTAAAAATTAGAAATCCTAAACAATTTTTTACATCCTCTCACCAGCAAAACTTAATCGCCTAGATCCGAATATAAAATTAATTTAGAAGGAAAAAAAAGGTTGGAAAAATCTTATTAGAGTTCATTTTCCAGATTTTTTTTTCTAGAAAAATCGGATTTTCCAACTTCATTTTACTCGGAAGTTTTCAATTTTTAAAGGAATTTCAAACTTGAAATTTCAGAAATTCAGAAATACAGAAATTCAGAAATTCAGAAATACAGAAATTCGTAAATTCAGAAATTCAGAAATTCAGAAATTCAGAAATTCAGAAATTCAGAAGTTCAAAAATTCAGAAAATCAGAGATTCAGAAATTCAGAAATTCAGAAATTCAGAAATTCAGAAATTCAGAAATTCAGAAATTCAGAAATTCAGAAATTCAGAAATTCAGAAATTCAGAAATTCAAAAATTCAGAAAATCAGAGATTCGGAAATTCAGAAATTCAGAAATTCAGAAATTCAGAAATTCAGAAATTCAGAAATTCAGAAATTCGGAAATTCAGAAATTCAGAAATTCAGTAATTCAGAAATTCAGTAATTCAGAAATTCTGAAATTCTGGAAGGAATTCTGAGATTCTGAGATTCTGAGATTCTGAGAGAGTCCAGAACTTCGATAATTCCGAAAAACTCTCGAATTCAAAAAATTAGAAACATTTTTTTTTCAATTCAGAATTCCCAAAATTTCCAGACTGTTCCAAAAAAAATGTATTCTAAAATCTCATAAAAGTCTAAAAATCACAAATTTCCTCACCAAAAAACCACTCCCAAACAAGCTTAATCCTCCTTGAAAAATCCAATTTTCTCGAAAATACAATTTTTCTAGAGGAAAATTTAATAATTCCAAGAATTACATACAATTTTTCAGGGGGAGTGTCTGGAAAAAGTTCAACTTTCATACTTCATTTTCATTTATGTTTTTTATGTTGATCTGTTTTTTTCAAATTCCGTCATTTCACCTTTTCAAAATTTGATCTAAATTCGAAATCCCTCATTCCCATTTTTTAGCTCATTCCTGCCCCTCTAATCCCTTTCATCCCCCACTCTTCTAGCTCAAATGGGCGGAGCCGCGTTGGCTCCACCCCTTTTTTTTCTCAAGCCAAAAAACACCTTCTTATTTTCAGATCACCTCTTATTCTCTCAAAGAACGCAAAATGAAATTTATGCTCACTATTGCTCTGCTATCCTCATTTTTCGCAATGAGTGTCAAGTGTCAAGAGGATCAAGTGTTTATTCTGGAGCATCCGACGTCGCCAGATGAACAACAAGGAGGGTGAGTAACACCTTTTTTTGGAATTTCTTGAAGTTTGAAAAAAAAACCTTGGGAAACTTTTTTTTGGTCGGAAAATATTTTTTCAGATTCTTGAAACTTTTTACCAAAAATTTTTTAAACGACGGAACTAGTTTGGAAACGTGTCCTTACAAAATTCCAGCTCATTGCCACCACGTTCAGCCGAGATACACCACTTTCAAGTTTTGACCCTTTCGCGGTCGCGTCGCGGTTGACTAACTTTTTGTAACTCGGCTCCCAATCGAGCTAGAGATCTGGAATAAAGTGCAAATTTCTTCAAATTGAGAGAGTTTTAAGTATTTTAAAAATGTAAACTAGGAAAATGGAAATCTAAAGTTTTCTGAGAAAAAAATTATTTTTTAAGTGCAAAAAATTTGGCAACAAAAATGAGAATTCTAAAAATAGGACTAATTTCAAGTGATCCTGTGCAATTTTCAATATTATTGGACACCTAGAAGCCGAGATACACCTTGAAGTTTTGATCTCCGCGGCGCGGTCGCGTCGCGGTTGACCTACTTATTGTATCTCGGCTCCCACTGGACGAAAATCGCTCATTTTTTCGCTAGTCTAACTCAAATTTCCTGCAGATTCTCGTCGCATATTGTTGCTCTTCGTCCCGATTACACTTTCTGGAAAATGGTGAACGTGCTGAAAACGGTTTTCGACTCGAGAACTCCTCAAGAGAAACGACGTGGGCCAATGAGACGGGACGCCGAAGAATCCGCTGTGACACGTCTTCCAAGCCTTCGCTCCCGACGACTTTTGCTGAATTTCGGACGTTATCGTGTTTGATAAACAAAATTCTGAATTTTCGAAGAATTCAGAAAACGTCTCTGTGTGTGTGTGTGCCACGATGAAAAATTTTATTTTTTGCTCAAAGATTTTCTCCCTTTTTTTCTTCCAGAATTATTCATTAATATTTCGCCTCCTCCTCTTTTTTTCTATTTTTGATTTTCAAAAAAGTTTTGTAGAAAACATTTATTTTTGAAAAAAAATCTATTTTTGGTGTCCATGATAATTTCTGGAGTAATTAATTTGTATTTGTAAATCCAGTCCTTGATAATTTATTTATTTATTTTGCTATAAAAAATATTTTTTGAATTTAGTATTTAAATTTGAAATGGAAAAGTTTTGAAAAATTGAGTGAATTCTGAAAAAAGATTTCTGAAAAAGGTTCAATTTTCAGATTTTCAGCACTTTCCTAATTTGAGAAACTTCTGGATATCTCGAAATTTCCTGAAACTTTGAAATCTGGAAATTATGTGGATTTTCTGGATTATAAATTTTCTGAATTTCTGAATTTCTGAATTTCTGAATTTCTGAATTTCTGAATTTCTGAATTTCTGAATTTCTGAATTTCTGAATTTCTGAATTTCTGAATTTCTGAATTTCTGAATTTCTGAATTTCTGAATTTCTGAATTTCTGAATTTCTGAATTTCTGAATTTCTGAATTTCTGAATTTCTGAATTTCTGAATTTCTGAATTTCTGAATTTCTGAATTTCTGAATTTCTGAATTTCTGAATTTCTGAATTTCTGAATTTCTGAATTTCTGAATTTCTGAATCTCTGAATTTCCGAATTTCTGAATTTCTGAATTTCTGAATTTCTGAATTTCTGAATTTCTGAATTCCTGAATTCCTGAATTTCTGAATTTCTGAATTTCTGAATTTCTGAATTTCTGAATTCCTGAATTCCTGAATTTCTGAATTTCTGAATTTCTGAATTTCTGAATTTACGAATTTCTGAATTTCTGAATTTCTGAATTTCTGAATTTCTGAATTTCTGAATTTCTGAATTCCTGAATTCCTGAATTTCTGAATTTCTGAATTTCTGAATTTCTGAATTTACGAATTTCTGAATTTCTGAATTTCTGAATTTCTGAATTTTTAAATTTCTGAATTTCTGAATTTTTAAATTTCCGCATTTTCATTCTTCTGAGTTCCTGGACTTTCATTTCCAAATTCTGAGAAATTCCGCAAAATCTCGGATGATCCGATAATTCATTTTTTTGGAAAAAAAATATTTTTGCTATTTTTTTGAATCATCAAACATCAAAAAAATTACCAAATGTGTTCCTGGTAATCCCAAAAACTATCCTTCCTGATTTTTGGTTTTCTCGACAAACCAAAAATTCAAAATCGAACGAAATTTTTTGATTTCAATAGAATTGAAAAGTTGGATTAATCTCATTTTTAGAGGATTATCCAAATTTCTTTGTGTAGGATTGAATGGATTTTTTGGATTATATAATAGAATTAATAATTTTACAGAAATCTGAAAAAATCTGGAAACTCGAAAATTCAGAAATTCAGAAAATTGGAAATTGAGAGACCCAGAAATTCAAAAATTCAAAAATTCAGAAATTCAGAAATTCAGAAATTCAGAAAATTGGAAATTGAGAGACCCAGAAATTCAAAAATTCAGAAATTCAGAAATTCAGAAATTCAGAAAATTGGAAATTGAGAGACCCAGAAATTCAAAAATTCAGAAATTCAAAAATTCAGAAATTCAGAAATTCAGAAATTCAGAAATTCAGAAATTCAGAAATTCAGAAATTCAGAAATTCAGAAATTCAGAAATTCAGAAATTCAGAAATTCAGAAATTCAGAAATTCAGAAATTCAGAAATTCAAAAATTCAGAAATTCAGAAATTCAGAAATTCAGAAAATTGGAAATTGAGAGACCCAGAAATTCAAAAATTCAGAAATTCAGAAATTCAGAAATTCAGAAAATTGGAAATTGAGAGACCCAGAAATTCAAAAATTCAGAAATTCAAAAATTCAGAAATTCAGAAATTCAGAAATTCAGAAATTCAGAAATTCAGAAATTCAGAAATTG